CACCAGCAGCCAGCTCCCCCGGCTGCCTCCCATCAGGTGTGTCCAGTTTAAGTGTTCCCTGCCCTGGACCCTGTCACCCATTCGATACTGAAGAAAGGGGCTGAGGAGGGGGGAAAACTGCTGGCACACTTTGTGTCCTGGTTCTGCATTGCCCTGTACTTAGGAGTTCCCCGTTGTTTTCTAGTTATAGTAAAATCACAGTAAAATTGTGATATAAAAATAACCACATAATAATGTGTCAGACACAACAGGTTACAGAAATAAACAAGCTATAGGCATTTACTCACAAAATCTAAAAATGACAATATGGTTAAAAACTATCAGAAAAGAAGTAGTAATAGAAAAAAACACTTGATTTTTTCAAAGTTTGACTCCAAAGAGATTTTTGTATCCAGCTGACATTGTGTCCTGACCATGTAGCTGTTGGGAATGCTGTCTTCTCCCTTGTCCTTACGTATCAGAGTGCCCCTGTGCCAAAGAGCTGTTTGGGAGCCTCCGTGTTTGGCAGCTTTCCCAGGTGTCTCAGAGTTTCCTTCCTGTGAAAGGGAAGAGCTGGTGGCCAAGGTTCCTTGGAGATACAAGTGTTTCTTTGACTGGCTAAATAATGGCTCCTTGTCTCAGTGGAGTGATAAAATCCTTTCTTTCTCTTTCCCCATTCCTTTGTGTGTGTGCACTTCAGGTTGCAGTGTGAACCTGACTGAGGAAGCCTAATGGCCTAATAAAATGGTGTTAAAGATTGAGGGAAGGTCAGATGAAAATGTGAGTGGATTGCATCGTATTTGGGGCAGAGTGTGCAATAGCAAACAGAAAAAATTACAAAAGACTCTGGGAGAGCAAGGCAGATCAGTCACGTAGAAAAAGTTATACCTGCTCAGTTTGTTCTGCCTTTCCTTGTTGCTGAGCAGTGTTTTGCAGCGCTGAGAGCTGCGGCCCGGCCTCCCTGTGTCACTGCATCCCCTTCTGCAAGGCAGAAATACACTTGCACACAGTTGTGTTACACCAGAAAATGGGCTCCCTTTTCATCTGTAGCCAAGTCAAAAACCTTCTGTCAGGCTGCTGCTGCTGAGGCTCCTGGAAAGTGGTAGAGAACTCCAGGGAACCTCTTGGAAGGGCTGTCTGGGAAAGCATTAGTGTTTCCCGGCTCTTTATCCAACTGTATTTGCTAATGGATTGCTCCATCGGTTGCTATTTGAGTTTTTGTAGTTTGCTGGACTTTGATAACAGAAGCACCAAGGAAGTGACCACTAAAGTGTCTCTTGTAACTCCTCACCTGAATCATATCCATTTCCTGAACATGTTCTCCATTGCCTTAGGTGTTCATGAAACCCCACAGAACTGAAATGGCCTTCTGCTACACCCTCATCGTGTGCAAAGTGCTGCTCTTCAACTTGGAATTGTAAAGACCATCAGAGGTGAGAATACAATCACACTGTCACTCATCAGGGCACTTAACAGTGGTTGTCACTTTTGTGATGTGATCTGTTTCCTTTGTGCTCGTTTATCAGTCTCTTTGCATTCCTTTTGTGCTCAACCACTGTTCCTTTTTCCTTTGTTGCTCTCTGTGCCCTTGGGGCACAAGAATAATGCTGTTCTCCAATAAAACAGTAACTAAATCTGTGGAGATGGATGAACTCATCACTCTCACTTCAGCTGTGTTCTGTCTGCTTTGTAGACAGCCCTGCCCTGCGGGACCTGAGGGAACAGGGACGTTGGAAGTGATGGGAAGAGGGACGAGCCCGGAGGTGGTGTGTCCCCCACCAGCACCCCGATGGGAAAGGACCCATCAGAAGAACCTGGATACGATGTGGGCTTGTGATGTTCAAGATGCTTTTTCCTGTAGGAGGGGACAAGTTACAGTTTTTGTGACATTACGCTCTTCAACCTCCAGCAGAGGTGGTGGTACCTGCCTGGTGTTACGCAGAGCTGAGATGTCCACAGCACAGCTGGCTTGGCCAACTCTGACCTGTAACTGAGGCCGTGACTCCCTGCTGATCTAGGCTGTACTGGAAGCAGATCTGCTTTCTGGATCTCTGCACTGGTGTGGATAAAAGGATGAAAGTTCATATGGGCTACAAGACTGCTCTTGTGTTTAGTGATTGTGTTTGAACTAAAAAAAGAACCACCTTTAAATGAAATTTGTAAAAATATTTTCAAGCACTAAAATATGTGACAAAAAATAGGAAATTGATGACTTCTATACTTAAAGAAAAAATTATTGTGTTTATGTTGCAGTAGTTTTTAATTAAAGTGTACAGAAGTATTAGTTAACTAGAGAGAATTGGGTGAGCCAGCAACAGCTGGAAAGGACTGGAAGGAAATGTGAGCCCATGGGGAGATTAAAGCTGCAGTAAGACTTCACTGTCCATGCAGTTAAGTAGCCCAACAAAAAGACCAAAAAAGAGTGAAATGAATAATGAAAAATGAATTTTGATGTGATGACAATTGCACTATAATATATCACCATTTTTTTCAGGGTTTTTTTATCTATTATAAAGCTGTTTAAAATTAGTCAGTGAGTAACAGGATGTTTATTTTCTATTTCCTGAACTCAACAAGGCAGCGAACATGAATCAAGGGCCTGGCAGGAACCTCACCGAGTTCAACAAAGGCAAAAAAAAGTGCTGCAGTGGGTATGGAGTAACTCGATGCAGTTGTGCAGCCCGGGCACAGAGTTGGTTGCAAAGCAGCTTTGCAGAGGCTGATCTGGGAGCTCTGAGGGACAAGTGAAGATGAAGGCTCCATTGGAAGAGCACAGCTGAGCTGGGGCAAGGAAAGCCCATCTTCCCTTTCTGTTATGTGATTCCAAGACTGCAGCTGGAGCTGTGACCAGTCTGGGCTCCTGAAGACAAGATATGGATGGGAACAAGTCCAAAGGAGGCCACCAAGATGATCAGGTGGGGAGAGACAGTGGGGCTTGTTCGGTCTGGAAAACAGGAGGCTGGGGGCCAGGAAATGGAAGAAAGCAGAAAAGACAGAGCCAGGCCCATCCCTGAGGTGCACAGTGGTGAGGAAGCCCTGTGTAATTTTCAGTGTGTGTAAGTGTTGCATCACACCACTAGTAACAACAGCACGAGTCAGGACTGGCTGGCTGGACTTAACGCTGTACTTACACACTGTGCAGCCACTGGGAGTTCCTGGTAACCCCCCGTGTCAGGAAGGGTGAGTGCAGGGCAGCCAGGTTGGGCTGGGCTGGGCTTAGGGATCCTCATCCTTCTACTGCCAGCAACATGAACCCTTGAACGTTAAGACAAGCAGAGCTGACAGATCCAGGAAAGTAAGAACTTCAAATGCCCCCACGACTCCCATGCAAACTCTGCCAGACAGGATGGCATAACCAGCTTGGTAATGCCCTTTTTTTAAAAAAAAAAAGTAACTGTGCATGTAAGCACAGCCTTTGCGGGCTGGGGCTCTGGCTGGGAGGAAGAGTTTTTCCCCCGTGAGAGGGATGACTGGTCAGTGTAATGTGCAATCGCTGTAACAGGCTGAACTGGGCTTTTCTTCCCCAAATTCACATTCCCTACACTTGGCTAGTGAAAGTCTGTGCAAGTAACAGCTCCAGAGAACAAGACTTCTCGACAGTGAGGGTTTGTGACAGGATCAAGATGCCACCACAGGGGTAGTCCTGTCCTCCAGCTCTGGCTGAAAACATCTGTGCTGCTGTAACGTGCCCAAACAGTTGCGATGAATCCGGTTTTGGAGGCAGGGGTCACCCTGGCTGTGGTGACAATGTCTTCAGTTCCCAAACACATGGTTTCAAGTTGTCCTAAAAGTAGAGCTTGTTTTTGTTTTTTATTTTTTAGGCGTGGCACAGGAGAGGAGCTGAGCCACTTACTGTCAGTGAGCCTGTGCCAACAGTAACTAATCCCAGAGAAGTTCCTTAAAATTCAAATCACTTAGGAAGTATTACAGAAATTCTTGGAAAAAAATCAGCTGTAGCCATCCTGCACAAGAGGGGAGACTTTGCTGTGGAGAAACAGTTGACTTGAAATGAAAAAGAATGCTCTGACACCCCTCCTCCTGGCTGTTATACTTGAGGTGTTTCAGATTTTGCTTTTTTAACAGCCCCTTTTTAACTTTATTTTTTACTGCTGCCTCAGTCCTGCTCAGATTTGTCAGCCGTGCTGTCTTTTGTCTGCCTGGAATATTTTTTTTTTCTAACCCTTGTTTTTGCCTTTCACTCAAACATTTTAAGACAAGTTCCCCGTTTATGTGGGACACTGAAAAGCTGAGGAATTTTGAAGTGTCAGGATTCAGCGACAGGGCTGCAATGCTTAGAAAAAGGTGGCTGTTACACCTTACAGTTCTCTTGCATTCTCCAATACAGACTCTGTTGTTACAGAGGGCAACTCCATCAAAACTAAGGACCCTGCATGATGCTTTCCTATGGCAATGTGGTTGCAGCCTACTGGGGCTGCTGCTGTGAAAGACTGACTTAAAAATTATACATGGGCTGTTTTCCAGTACTGCATGGGAAGGCAAAGGGTGAGAAGGGAACTGCAGCAGGTACAGACAGGCAGGACATTTTAGGATGGCCCTCAGGCACCCTGAGCAACCCGAGCTGCCTGAACTGCCAGCTGCACTCTCTCTCTGTCACTTCCATAAACAGCTTTCTTCCATCCAGACTGATCAAAACACATCTTGTCTTTGAAAACTGTGTGCAGAAAGCACAGAGACCTGTGATAAAGTCAGCTGCCATCAACCACCAACCTTCAGGGTCTGTGCAAGAAACCAGGACAGCAGCACTGGTGACATGGCAGTGAAAACAAATGAATCTAAACCTTCAGAGCAATTTATTGCCATTGCTGTTCATGGGACCCGCAGCTGCTCAGCTTTGCTGACAGGGAGCAGCAAGAAGAAACTGAGCAAGTACGTCAAAGGTATTTCTCCAGAGTGCCTAAAGAAGTGGGTTTTTTATTGAAGTTACTTTCTCTTCATCCTTTGTCCACCAAAACCTTTTAGCAATTGGATAAAACCCATATAATAAAATCAGACAAAACAGCTTCAAACATGATATGTCTTTTATGCATCTTCAGTAGGGATTTTGAATTTCTATCACCAACTAAAAAGAGAACGATGATTGCAAAATCCATCCCTCAAATGCATCACGAACCCAGATTTTATCCCCATATCCTGCAAAACTCCTCCCTCTCTCCCAAATGCTTCAAGGAAAAAAAAAACAAAAACAAACCCCCAAATCAACAGCCTTTGACAAACTACCTGCTATGTCAACTCTTGGAGCATTACCAGACATTCTGAGGTTAGACTGTACAACAGTTTCCAGAAAGTGTCTATATTCTATGGACATTTTGTCCCCCCACCTTGAACAACTTGAAGGTGCTGTACAGAGCTTCACACGCCCAAACGACACCCTGGAGGGCACAAGGCAGGAGCAGCTGAGGAAGGGGTTGCCACCCACATGAAAACCATCACTCCAATGTTTTGCACAGTGACTAAAAAAAAAAATGCAGCTACACCAAGTCCCTGTAGTGACATTCCTGATTCTCAGCCAGTGCTTTTCATTTTGGGTGTTCACACTTTGCAAAAATGAGGTATCTGGTGTATTTCTGAGAGGTGGAGGTATCAAGTCTGTTCAAAACCCAGACCTGTTCACTTCCCATCAATACTGGTTGCAAAAAGAAAGGCAACTATTCTAAATCGAACTGGAAAGGAGGAGCTGTACGTCGTGTTGCTGTTCTAGTTTTATAGAGCTTAATGTGACATTCCACTAAATTGAAACAGTGTGCTTTCTTACTTACTCATTTGGCATCTCTTAAATATGAAAGTTTTAAACTTTCAAGAACCAAAAATTAAAAACTGGTTAATTGAACTATTGCATTAGAAAGTCACAGTTCTTAAAAGGATACTTTCTACATCTGCACCATTTTGATTGTGAGCAAATATATTAAAGATTTATCCGCAATAGTTTCGCTAATAGGATAGGCACATAGTGGTGTGTAAACTACATGTGGCAACCAGAACAGCAAAGGCACAATCTGGATATTTTTTCTTTTTTCTTTTTCTTTTTTTTTTTTTTACTTTTCAAGATGATGATTAATTAACAAAGAAAAATATTCTATACTTCATGCAGAAGTATTACATTTGTATTTTATAGCACAGGACCATTACAGAACTGCTGTCACCTGATAAAATGGGTCATTTAAATAAAATAATAATAATAATAATAAAAAGATAGCAGCTCTTTGCACTGAGGAACTGAGTTTCTGCATTGAAGGGCAGTACGTGTTCTCATCTGTCAGGCTGAGACCATCTGAAATCCCCTCTGTAGCTTCTTGCCCAGGAAGAGCTTTGCCAGCACGTTCGTGGCAGTTACAGCTCTCCTGGTTTCCTGCTCTCAGCTCACATTTGTTTTCCTACGTCCCTACTCAAAAGCTGAGATGTCTGGAAAACTACCAGTTGCTCCTCTAACACAGCAGCAGTTCTAAAACACAGTGTGCCACCCTGGTGAGCTGAGCCCACTCAGAGTCTTTGTTGACACCTGCAGCCCGAGGTGTTGGTCAGAGGGATCCCCCCCACAGAACCCCTTTCTCACTGGGAGACAAGGGCAGGAGAAGCTTCAGACACAGCCCTCAGCAATTCAAAGTTAAACCTAACGCAGTGACTTCAAAGTGTAATTTCTGCCCGAGGCTCCAAGAACATGACAATTCTGCATTTTACATAGAAACATTACAGTTAGAGTAAGTAGAAAAATTTAGTTTACAAATTGAAAAGATCTTTCTATTAAAAAAAGACATTTCATGTAGTTACCTTAAATAGTTCTTATATGCACCATTCCACATTGTGGAAAAGCTGAAATACGCAGTCTGGACTCCACAAGGTAAAGAAAACCAGAATTATATGTATTGGCACAAATACTTACATCTAGATCTGTACAACGTAAAAAACCAAGCTGAGAGCCCTGTCCCACCGGCGCCGCACAGAGCTGCGCTCGGACACACACCTTCCTGCCTGACGCCGCGGGGACAGCGAGACGGGAGCTTCAGTCCTAAGAGCGTGGTGCCAAACAGTTCCAAACTGCTCTGTCAGTCTCTCACCAGAGGAACCAGACGTGTCTCCAAAAGCGTGTGGGTCCCCCCAACACGCTCCCAGCCGCGGGGTCACTGCAGCTGCACCCGGTACGCGCCTATCAGCAGCTTCACCTGGAACAGCACACACAGGTTTCACATCAAGCTTGTTCACATTTAACTACTGCCTTAAACACTTCCTCTAACAAAGCATGAGAAAGCTCATACAATCGCTAGTGAGTAAGAAAGAAAATAAAACAAAAGGAATCGACTGTGTTTAATAAAATCAGTCCATGGGAACCCGACTGAAACAGGAGAGGCCTGTGAAAGGACTCAAACAGCCTCTGAGTGCAGGGGCTGGTGTCTGAACAAGTCAGTCCCAAGGCTGAACCAGGCACACACACACACACTTTCATCTCAATACAAGTTCAATTTTTCCCCTTAAAATAAAACATTTAATAATATAAGTTTTAAATCTGAAGATCTGGCAAGTTTACTGGTGCATCTTCCAAGGATAAAAGTAAATGCCATCAGAAGAGGATCTTCATTTTGCAACATGTGGTGGGGCTGGTGCCCAAACCACCTGGGAAACAGAGCAGCCTGCACAGCCCACTGAAAAGCAGAGTGTACATCCTGGTACGTGCTCCCAAGTTCTCCTCAACACACAAGCAAAAACATTTGTATGCAAAAAATAGCTGACACTCCACAGCTCTGTGGGTCACTACATTCACAATAGAGATGGGGAAAATGTTTAGCTGTAACATTCCTTTATCCTGGTGCAGGAATTGTTCTGACTGCAGGATAAAAACATTCAATTATGACAGAACTAAGACCCTCGGCAGCGTTGCTAAGATGCTCCAGTGATGGGAACTGGGATGAGGAGACAGTGGGAAGTCCTTAGTTTTACATTTGCAACATACAAGTAGGAAGCATTTAGCCTCTGGAATAACTGTACAAAAAGTTACTATACACATTTAGTTTTGAGAGCATTCTGTACCTTGGCGGTAGGAGCTTCTGCCAACCGTATAAAAAGCTTGTTAAGGCCTGCAGTGGGGCTGAAGGAATAAATAAAGTGACTGTCCTAGAAGGAAAACCAGAATGGACACAGTTAAGGGCAGGATATGGCTGAACGTGCTGTGTAACACAACATCGTAACTATGTGTTTTTTGAAAGAGAGTTGCCTATCCTGCAAAGAACCTTTGGTGCCACCACAGAGATAAGAAAACAACTTGAAAAAGCATGCACAGTGATGCATTTAATAGATTAATAAAAATATAATAAAAATTAGAAATGAATCATGAGAAATATGAGGCAGGTTAATAAAACAAGGCAAAGTTAGTTATATTTCAGAACCTACTTGGGTCAAAAATTTGAGAGCCCAGGAGAATCTGAGAAGCAGAACAGCTTTAAATACAGAATTGCCACCTGCCTGCTCAAACCAAGTCCCAGGAGGGTTGAGGTTGGAAGGGACCTCTGGAGGTCATCCAGTCCAACCAGGCACCATCCGGTGCTCACGCAGGGCCACCTAGAAGCAGGCTGTGTGTCTTTTAAGGCATAAGTTTTTAGGGAGTCTGGTATATGCAGGGTTTGTAGTTCTCTCCATACACAAAGAAGAATTAAGTTTAATTTTAATAACAAATAACCCTATCATAATAAGAAAATGTTTCATCACAATGCTCAAAATCCAAATTAAGGCCCTAAGATTTCCCAGGCTGCTCCATAAAGACTTTATAAAGCAGTTTTACAGTCAGTTACACAAAAAGACTTACCAAAAATACAGGGAGCTGGAATTTGTCGTTTAAAACCACAGCTTGTACACTGCATGGTCCACAGAGCCGAGCAACAACTTCTTTACCAAAGAAATTTGCGTGGAAAACAAAGAGAAGAATTCCAGATCCTGAAAGGGAAAGCAATTCAGTCACATGGATTTGGAATGAGATGCATTATTTACAACACCCGCATAGGCTGAATGTTTGAAGACAGTTAGGTACAAGTATATATAATAATGTAAATATTATATAGTATATATTAAACACCAGTGGAGCATTAAAGCAACACGCACAAATCCAATCTCACAAGCCAGTGGATCCCAGCACAGAACTCAACTGACTTGGTCACTAAGTTGAGGTCTTTTGGCAGCAGCAAGAGCGTGATGTGGCTGTTGGAAAGGAAAGCAAACTGGGCACAGCGAGCCTCGGTGCGGTTCAGCTCTGGGGTTTTAGGTTTGCCTAAAGAGGGTTATGGAATTTAATGTGTTTTGGGTTGTCTGTTCTCTTGGCAGGGACAACCGAGCAACGTCAGTTATAGATCTTTATGAACCGCACTGAAATTCAATAAACAACAATCTTCAATACCCACAAATGCCTCATTTTAATACATAAACTTATATAAGGCTTCTTAATTCTGTAAAAGATACCAATAATCAAGAACTGGAAGACTTTTAACAACCAGAAAACCAGGCAGACACAACCACTTCCATAGAATCATAGAATTGTCCAGGTTGGAAGGGACCTTTAAGATCATCTAGTCCAACCATCAACCTAATTCTGAGAAAAAAAGACATCACTAAACCATGTCACAAAGCTCTGTGTCAATCCATCTTTTGAATACCTCCAGGGATGGTGCCTCAACCACTTCCCTGGGCAGCCCATTCCAATGTTTAATAACCCTTTCAGTGTAAAAATGTTTCCTAATGTCCAATCTGAACCTTCCCGGGTGCAATTTGAGGCCATTTCCTCTTGTCCTATCGCCTGTGACTTGGGAGAAGAGACCAACCCCCGCCTCTCTACACCCTCCTTTCAGGGAGTTGCAGACAGCAATAAGGTCTCCCCTCAGCCTCCTTTCCTCCAGGCTGAACAACCCCAGCTCCCTCAGCCTCCCCTCATAAAACTTATTCTCCCTGTACTCTGGAACTGGAGCATCCTTAAGGTAATGGACTGCAATATAGTAAGTCATACAAAAATAATTTTGCAAAACAGATACTTCAAGACATACTTACAAGGCAGTTTCTTAACACACTGTTCTACCTTTCCCTCTCCTCCCCCCTTGCCTCTCCTCAAAAAAACCAAACCCCAAACAAACCCACCACCACCACAACCTCCCCTCTTACCTTCTGGCACATTTTGTGGTGGTTTATAGTTAAAATCCGTAGAGAAGTCTGGCCCTTCACAGAGACGATGACACGCGATTGGAAAGACTGGCTCCAGCAAAACAAGACGAGCTTCAAAATAATCCCTGATGGTGTCTTCTGCTACTCTTGAGAGCCTGAAAGACCAAATAAGTGAGGCCTGTACTTCACAATGTAAAATTACTTTATCAGATAGACTTCATGAGAGCTGATGCAAAAAAGGATCCCAGATTACCCTTCTGGATTGCTTGCTGATTGCCAGGAGTGAATGCCTTCGTCACTTCACTGACACATAGATGAACTCCAAGGCCCAATACTTTCTTAATAAAACATTTTACCAGTGATCTGTTTGTGAAATTCATCTGTCAGGTCCACAATAATAAAAAGCTGAGACAAATGCACTGCAGCAGATTAAAAATCATTCCAACTAGCCACATATTTTGAAGGCTCTTTATGTAAAAAGATGTCCCTGATTCACCAATCTGACCGCAAGTACAATGTAAAAATAAACAAATAAGTCACTGGATAATTTTACTGGCAATACTGTAAGAAAAATGCAGGTCTCAGTTAAGCTCCAATAATAACACAGTGAAAAAGTAGCTACGTTATCATTAAATAACCAAATTGGGGGGTTTTGCTTGTTTTTTGGGTTGGGGGTGATGTTTTAACTCAAGTGAGTAGCGCAGCCTTCAAAGCCAGACCACGCTCCCCAGCAGCGTCTGGCACCTTTACAAGCAGGTTACTGAGTAATCCTCTTCACAAAGCTCTTTTGGCACAAATGGGTTTTAAAACCTTTTTACAAGGCAAAGGTCCCAACTCTCAGCTTTATGGCTTTTCCAGCTATTACTGGGGGCACGCTCCCCTCCCCGCCAGCCCAGACTACCCCCCGCAGAACCTAAAACTGAAGCCTTTGACAGGAAAGACACCACAAGAACTGCCGTACCAGAGCGAGCCCAGAAGCCCATTTAGCCCAGTTTCCAGATGCTACACAAAGCTGTGTTAAATACTGGAAATTGAGCAGTTGGGGGTTTTCTGTCCCAGTTTCCAGCAATCTGATTTAGAGGCATCCAAAACTAGAGACTGCAGCCAAATCACACCTCTCCTTACATCTACTTCATCCCTTCTAAAATCCCATCCAGCTGTGACCGCAGCATTCTGCGGCGAGGAGATCCATAATTCAGTTTTTCTGTGCAAAAATATTTCTCCATTTCAAACCCATCACTATATCATTCAACAGGATGGCCTGCAGAACCTGTCTCTTGGCTTTGAGCTATTTGATGATGTTGTTTTCCCATTTTATTTTAAATGTTGACCTTTTAATCTGTCCCAAGGTGATGTGTATCACCACCCTGGGCCTGTGCTCACAGAAGCCACTTGATATCTCTAGCCATCTTTACTTTTCCTTTGTGCTTCCCCTGTTTTTGAGGTAAGGTAACTGGAATGGCACGTGTTAATTAAGGCATTTGGACACCATGGATTTCATTTTATATTCAGATCCACTACAACTATATCATCCTCCTTTCTGACTGACAAGCAGCACTGAACAGGTACTTTCAGATAACGAGTCTGGAAGCTTCTACAGTTGGGAGCAGCTGTGTCACTCCCTGTGTGACTCACATTGCCACAGGGATACCCCACGGACATCACTTGGCAGTTGAAATTAAATATTGATAAATGCAGTTTCACTGGCAAAATTACACATTCAATATAATCCAAAAGTCATTATTCAGATTAGCCAAAACTGAGGGCGACAGGTTTTGAATAGGAAACGAACTGGAAAAGGCATCAAATAGTGAATGAGTGACAAAGTTTCAAAGCACTGAACAGCAGGTTCCAAGTCACTTTCTGTGCATCCTCGCTGCTGCCTTCACAACTGTCACTCACAAGTCACCACTTCCTTCCCCCCGGGAAAATCAGCACATCCCATTTATCCCCTCCAACTGCCCCTGCTGACTTTAACAAGTTCATACTGTCCTCCCAGTATGAAACCGGATCAGAGCCCATTAGTCCAACACAAATCAGCAGCACAAAGTCTAGCTGGAAGCCAGTCACTACTGGTGTACCCCCGAGGTCAATACTTTAACATCTTCATGAATGGCCTGGACGATGGTGCAGACTGTACCCTCAGCAAGTTTGCAGAGGATACAAAACTGGGAGGAGCGGGTGACACACCAGAGGGTCATGCTACCATCCAGAGGGACCTTGACAGGCTGGAGAAATGGGCCAACAGGAATTTCATGAAGTTCAAAAGAAGTGCAAAGTCCTGCGCCTGGGGAGGAACAACCTCAGGCACCAGTACATGCTGGTGGCCACGCAGCTGGAAAGCAGCTTGGCAGAAAAGGACCTAGTGGACACCAGGGACAACATCAGCCAGGAACGTGCCCTTGCTGCAAAGGCAGACAACGTTCTGCTACACTAGGCCAAGGGAGAGCATTCTCCTCTACTCATCACTGGTGAGACCACACCTGGAATACTACATCCAGTTCCAGGCTCCTCACTACAAGAGAGACATAAGCATACTGGAGAAGGGCCACAAAGATGATGAAGGGACTGGAGCATGTGACATGTAAGGAAAGGCTGAGAAAGCTGGGGCTGTTCAGTGGACACCAGGGACAACATCAGCCAGGAACGTGCCCTTGCTGCAAAGGCAGACAACGTTCTGCTACACTAGGCCAAGGGAGAGCATTCTCCTCTACTCATCACTGGTGAGACCACACCTGGAATACTACATCCAGTTCCAGGCTCCTCACTACAAGAGAGACATAAGCATACTGGAGAAGGGCCACAAAGATGATGAAGGGACTGGAGCATGTGACATGTAAGGAAAGGCTGAGAAAGCTGGGGCTGTTCAGAAGAGAAGGCTCAGTGGGATCTTACCAATAGATCAATAAACACCTGAAGTGAGGGAGAAAAAGGAAGGAACCAGGCTCTTCTCAGTGGTGCCTGGTGACTGGACAAGGGGCCACGGGCACAAACTGCAACACAGGAGGTTCCCTCTGAACATCAGGAAACACGTTTTTAGTGTGAGGGTGAGCGAGCACTGGTACAGGCTGCTCAGGGAGGTTGCAGAGTCTCCATCACTGGAGATATTGAAAAGCCATCTGGACAGGGTCCTGGGCGAACAGCTCTAGGTGGCCCTGCCTGAGCAGGGGGTTTGACAAGATGAACCTCCAGAGGTCCCTTCCAGCCTTAACCATTCTGTGCTGCTGTGATTCTGTGGTTTTGTAACTGAGTTACTTTAGAATTCATAAGCAAATACAACCTTGCCCTGGAAACATATCTGTATTTTACTGGTTTGCACTAAAAACATTTTTTACTGGACATTTTGCTTTGCAAATGTTCCACCGATGTCTGCCTTACAGAGGTGCTCCCTAACCTCATTATGCCCACCACGGCAATGATCCCATGGGAGTGGTTGCTTACAGATCTTACTTATTAGACTTCTTAGTCTAAAAGACACTTTTCAGACTTTTTAGTATACTTAAATTTAGCATTTAATAAGGTTCTAAAGAAAGAGCACTAGTAACTATTTAAAATAGAATAAGAATATTGGTAGTACTACAGCACGTATCAGTGACCATCACAAGGCAGCTTCTGTCCAGATAGATTTAGGACATTTGCTGATGGGAACCTCAAGAGATCAGAAACAGAAAACAGCCAGGGCTTTCTAAACACTAAAAGAGAACGATCTTGGACTACAAACTACTTGACAGTCTGTCTTTTATTTTATATATAAATTGTCAGGAAAACATCATCATAAATCAATAAAAGGAACTTGTGCTGAGACAGTGTTCTTCCAGCACTAACTGCACGTTCCTGGCAAAATCTCACCTGCTGCAGAAGCTCTGAGGTTCTCCCCGAGTCCTCTCCAAGTTCAGAGATTGCTGGTTACGATTTTCTGCCCTGACATGTTAACTATCAGTATTCCTCCAAATTGATATTTAAAGAGCTTGCTCCTTCTCTTTATGTTTATTTTTTCTTCATTTAGCATCCATATTCATCAGCTCCGTGTATTTTTACATGACCTTATGAGAGGAATGCTTCACATACCACATACACAGGACTCAAGCCATTCTGTTGCACGATGAAAATCTTAATTTCCATCCCTTACTGGCATGGAAGCTTTACCCAAGCACCCTCAGCTCACAGCTGACATTTAAGGGTCCAACAACACCCTAACTACCTGCACTGACTTTTCATGGTGTTTTTGTTTCGTGTTCTTTCGGTTGTTTCCGATAATTTTTAACAAAGTATTTTATTTGGCATGTGCTAATAAGAGTTCACATTAAACTCTCCAGTGCTTACACACTTCAGTTTTCCCAGCTGCTGTATTTCTAGCTTAAGGAATCTTTCACTTCTAGTAATTCCCTTTTCCTCCTTTTCACCTTTCTACTTAGTGTTTAAAGCTAGTATCTGCTCATTCTGTTACCTCATATCATTTTCATTTCACATGATTTATTAGCTTGCTGCCCAAACCAGATCTGTTTTCTTTCCTAAAATCTCCCCCCTCTTCCCCTCGATTTAAACCAAAATTATGACATGCCTGGTATTGCAAACTTCACCAGAACAAACTTCAAAGTACAGTTTACTCACGTTTCCAAATGACTCTTGAGCTGCTCATACACCAGTACGTTATTGCATTGTTTGGCAAAATGCAGCGCGCTGTTCTGGTGCTTCGACAGAATGTTACAGTCTGCCCCGCTCTCAATCATAAGCCGCACTATATCAGAGTTCCCTCTTTTACAGGCCTGTGAGAAAGTGAGAAGATGGAAATGACAAATTCCCCTTTAGAACAGAGCATAATGTTGAAGTAAGCAGAGGTGCAGAACTTCATTAAAAATCAAAAATTCGGAAAACAAGCTTAGGTATTTGCTCTGCAAACACTGACACAACTTGAAACTCAGGATCACGCTCCATAAATACCTTATCTTTACCCAGGCAACACTACACATCTGGTCCCACAGAAGCAGCAACACTCAGGATTACCAAGTGGACTTAATTAGGGGGAAAAGAAATTTAAAAATAGATAAAACAAACCCCCAAAATTCTGTGAAAACATCTAATCTGCTGGAGTTCAGTAACCATAAACTTTCTTCTGATTGTTTACCTGAATAAATGGGTTTCTGCAAAAATATTCAGAATGACTAAAGGAACTGTCACCAACTGCTGAAGTGGCCACAGCTGTTCAACATTACTTACAGCAAGAATTTCAGAGCATGTCAACCAAAAATTTGACAAAAGCACAGGAAAGTCTGATAAAAGCTTTACTGAAGAATGCAAACGCATGCTCCTGGTTGCTTGCTTTTAAAACGCTCAAGACAAATTAGGGGAAGGCACAAGAGACAGACATTTCTATCTTCACGAGGCCTTTCAGAAGTTAACTTCTGAAATTTGTTTCAGCTCTGAACTTTCATCTGTGCTTTCAATCCATAATCTTCCTTAAGTAAATAAAACCACCTGCACCCCCCCAAGAAAATCCCACATCACCTCAGAGCAAAGAATTAAGTGCCAAGAATTCCCCCCGTCCCACCCCACTTCAGCTTTTAAAAGATATGATCCAACTCCTACAGTTAAATAATAGTGACCTGATAAGCACATTTATACCCCTATCCACACACAACTAAACTTGTTCCAGAAAGTTACAAAGAATAGCATCTTCATTTCCAGTATCTGCACAGCAAAACAAATATCCAGAATAAGTCACTGTAGGCTGCCAATTAGAAAGTATGTACAGCTGTGCATCAAATACTAATGAAACCTTTAAAAACAATGAAGGTCAAGATGCGGTTCAGAGGCAGCCAAGTTATGAAGGAATTTTGGACTAAAGTGGCTGAGGAAACCAGAAGTGTGTTATTATTTTCTTTACAGAAGATGTGGGTTCCCCACACTTGTTAAGCCTTGCAGAGGACAGAAGAGAAACAATACCCCATTGTCTTGGAAAGAAAAGCTTTTATAACCTCTTCTGCAAACAAACTCCCTTGAACAGCCCACATACAAACACAGTACATTTATCAGGAAGGGGAACATTGATTAAATTATTTGATTAAAAAAAAAAAATTAAGAGGATCAAAGACTGTTTTAAGGGTCTTAGAATTTTCTCGTTACAACAAAATAAATTAAAAAAATTTCCTTTGTGATGGGGGGAGTAAAGGCGTAGAACAGGCAGTCTCCAGCAGGAGACTGCAAACCAGTTACTTTATTTCTGTCCTGCAATGAAATGACAAAAATCAATCACAGCTATATGCAAGTGAAAGATTCTCCTTTCTGGAATTTTCCTCCTCCTGCTGACAACCAGATTATCTCTTGTATTTAAGAGCACATGTGCATTTCTTTGATCAAAACAATGGAAGAGGATGCTGAGCTACTTTTAGCACTGTGTCCTGACAGCACCTGCATTTACTGTTTAGATATAACAGTACATTAAAAAAAATGGATTAAAACATTACCAGAAGAGCTAAGAGTAGTATTTGTATTTCAAATATAGTACATCTTCCCTAAATCAATTCTACAAATACGCTTTTACGTTTTATTAGTTTGCCAAAAGTATTTACTATTAAACTGTGCCAGGACAAACATTGAACTTACCTTCATCAAAGCAGTTTCCCCGCTGCTCTGCTGCATGTTCACATACGCCCCAGCTTCCAGAAGAATAGCTACTGTTGTTAGAAAATTCTGAAAAAACAAACAAACCACAAGATAAATAAGTAGAAAATATTGTGGATTTGTTTCAGAATATATAGTGACATTTATTTAAAATCCAACAGTAAAACCCAAAGCACAAGGCATGACACAATTAACACTGTTCTCTCCCATGGCTAGCAAAGAGCAATTCAGACTCAGGCAAGTAGATAGCCATGAGCACTTACAATTATTACTTTTTTTCTAAACCTTGCAATAGTGAGCACCACAGGAATGTTTGCATTAATCACCAAACTGGAATCAGGTTCCCTTTTGGCCTTGTACTCACTGTACACAGGCAAACACATGAACCAACTTGAAGAGCACACCCATGAAACACCCTCTATCTTAACAGCCGAGCTGTCATAGTTTGAGCAGAGCTTGCCACCGTCTCCATCTTCCAACTCTCAAAAACAAAACCCTGCTTAATCAGTGATTTGCTCTCAAAGTCTCCAAATTCAGATCCTGTGTAGCCTGAGATCATAATAAGCAATTCTAACACAAGAACTTTAGTCCCCACAACAGAGAAATTCAGAGATACCCTTTGTCTCCACTTTCCCTCCAGGCAGCCCTATCATGTTCTCTACTCAGGGGAGGGTTTGTGATCAGAATTTATTTACGCCAGTGTAACCACAGCTGCTGAAATGGTGCAGTTAAGGTCACCCTGCTATATCCTGCTAACTACTTTTTAAGCATCACCCAAGGGAAAAAAATGATGCACCACTTTTAAACATAAGTAAAAGAGCCAAGAACCACAAATACAACAACCACCAAGCAAACCTTTTCAGCAGCGTGTATCAATGCAGTTGTTCCATTTTTCTGTCTACCATTAACTTTAGCTCCTTTCCTGATTAAGACTCGGAGAAGGTCATCATGCCCACCAGCAGCTGCAAGCATTACTAGGGTCATTCCACTCGAGTCCTGCAACAAGAATCATTGCCATTAAAAAAAATAAATTAAAAAAAATCAAATACTTTATCTTAAAGTTGCAAGACAAAAACTGCAAGTGTGTCAGCAAGTTTCTCAAAAATTCCCCTCCCTGGCAGGAGAATTCACAGACATGGCCGCCAGACACTGGCAAACTACCACCTCCCACTTCTCTTGTCCACAGGTCTCACACCCTGAGCTCCCTAATCTGCAAAACCCATAACATTCTGAGGACGAGAACAAGGAGGAGGAAAACCAGAATAAGCCAGGAAGAAAGGCAGCAAGGTATCTGAGGGAGGGGAAGACAGCAAGACAGTGGAAAAAGAAATCAGCAGCCACTAAAGGAAAAACACAATGGCTCAAGACAGCTGTGACCGCAATGCTGCTTTTGGATTTTATCAGAGTGGCAGCATGAAGAGAGTTCTGTGAGTGGCCAGTCTCCTCACTCCTTGCATTTTCCACCAGATGCTACAATTTAAAGATTACATGCTGGCCTCAATCATTTGGCATTAAGTTCTTAGCATAACATCATTCTCAAAATGCTACATAATACAACGACACAAGATCACCAATGAAAATACTGGTATCAGATATTTTAATCCTCAAAAATGGAACTTTAGTACTACTTAACAGGAGAACAGATCCTTGAAAGAAAAAACAGTAAGAACACAACTGACGAAGAACTGGCAGAAAAGTAATTATTCATGGAGTTAAACAGTCCCAGCATGTCAAACAGAACATTCAATTTTCATTTTTAATTTTTTAAAAGTGTGTAGATGCTTTACATAGCTTACCCATTTGACCTGATGGGGATCATCATTCCTTATACCGTGTAAGGTGCACATTAAACATTCAGTTAAACCCAGGGGGCAAATCTGCTGCATATGCAGCTACTGGGATGCTTCTATCAAACTTCATTTTTAATTTGGGAGAGTAACAAATATTGAAGCCTCAAGTTCTGTACTCCCTTTTCTCCCTTTGTACTTTTTTTTTTTCCAAGTGAGACAGAATCTGCTACTATGAAGAGGGGAAAACTTCTCAAATCCAAATTTGTATTCTTTCCTCCCACACCCTCCAGAACTTCTACTGCAGAAAAATTACCTCTTGATCCAGATTATATTCCTCATTTGAAGAAAGTGCCATCTTTACTGTCATATAATCCCCACTTTTAACAGCATCCCTCAGGAGAGCTAGAAAATAAATTCAATAAAGTCAATAGCACATTTCACTTCGAAACGCCAGCTAAGAAATGCCCACTCCTCCCAGCAACTACTCACTACTTGATACTGGTTCTGTTAACACATGATTCTCATCTTCTCCATCAAGATGCTTCTGAAAATCTTCTAGTGTCAGCCATTCCAACTGCATGTCCATACCCAAACTCAAGACTTGCTGCTTGCCATCTATCACGTATTTGATTTTATGGAAGAAGAAAAAATAAGTAATAAGCAACTTCATAAACTTTCAAACCATTCACTGCTTGCCATTGCTTCAATGATCAGCAGCTTAACATACCACTACATTTCATTCAAATAGACTCTGGAAGTCAGCGTGGAACGGTTCCAAACAATGAATGCTACGTTATAAATGGACACAAAATGCTTTTACCTGAAACTGCTTATTTGTTGTAATAAATTAGGCTGAAGTGATACCAGATGGTGAACATTCCATTTCTGTAATAGCAGAAATACACTGGAAACACACTGAAAAGTTATCAGTGAGTTTCCAAAGAAAACCTCATTTCAGCCTCCTGGGGAGACAAGAACTGGAGCACTAAAAGATGCAAGCAGGAATGGGGAAAATATTAAGTGCCAGTGCTCAACTTTCCCCTGTATTTGTTTCTACTGCTCATTAGAGCTCTGCACTTGACACACATCCTCTCCTCCTCCATCAACTTCTGCAGCAGCCTAAGTCCACATCTCTGTTCCACCACTTATATTCTTTCTTTCCTCGTGTACTTCACTGTCTTTTGATTTTCTCTTCTATGAACTTACATTCTAGCAAAGATTATTCCCTTTTGCTGTTATTCTGAGCATATTCACTTTTTTCTTCTGAAGCTACATTAAACAAGTCTAATGTGCTTTTGACGTCCTTAAAGCCTAGAATATTAAGACAGTTGCCAAGAGTGGCCACTTGAGCCACTAAAGACTATTAGTTAACAAAGTTTAAGTGAGTAACCAGAGTCCATTTAGAAAAGGTCTGTTCTCTTTCCATAAGTTAATAATTGCTGAAACATAGCAGCAACCTTCCTTAACAATAGAAGCCAAAAACTGGGGAGAGCTACCCTCCAGGTACCCTGAACAAGTCCAAGTTCTGACTGCTTTCAACACAGTACCATCTTCTTTTTAAGAAATGTAGTTTAGAATTATGTATAAATTACTACTTTGAAAATATGGTTCAGTATCTGTGATGAACCTGTGGAGGACATGTGCTGTATAAGGAAAAAAATAAGTAATAATTCTGTTTGTTACTAGTTCTCTTAAGCATTGTCTTTGCTACTTTCAAATAGCAACAGCTATTTGAAGCATCATAGCTCCTCCTGTAACCATTCATGATTATTAAAGGTGGAATTACCTATTTTTCCTCAGTTCATCCTCACCAGACTAGTGAGAGAATTCATTCTGAACAAAATCATCCAGAATTCTACTGAGATGAAGACTGCCAACATTAATACTCCACTATACTACTAAGAATAGAAACACAATGTAGACATTTTCCTTCGCATATCAAATCATCCAGTTCTGCTGATATTTTAAGGGTTGTACAAGGTAACTCATCATTGTGGCTAAAGCAAGAGGCAAGAAGTTTCTCTGATGGGAACCTCTACTAGTTTTTCTAAACATATAAAGTGTGTATTCATAATATCATCAGAACAGTTCCGGAAATAGCTAATAGTTGGCTAAATTCTTCTAAAACAAGAGTACTCTACATGCCACAGAAGAACAGCTGACAGTATTAAATGAGAAAGGGCAAAATCTTGACTTATCTATAAAAATGTTAATTTCCATACACTACCACACTTCATACATGCAAGTAGAGCATTCTCATGAAGCTTATATTAACAAAGCCATTAAACAGTAGACTTTTACGTCCTAAAATAAAACCAGAAATTCTTGTTTCTGGTACGTGGTACAAAACTGTACAATACCCGCTCTTGCAGATATAAGAGGAGAATGTCCTGAAGGGTCTTTCCCTTCTCTTTTTAAGGAGTTAACACTTACTTTTTAGGCCCTTTTGTTCTTTCCCACTCTTTTCTTCTTTTTCAAACTCTTTTTTTTGAGGTTTTTCTTTTGTTTCAGTTTTCATTACTTCTTTCTCCTGATATTGAGAGCAAGGATCAAATTAAAGTGGTGAAGAAAAAACAAGAAAATAAAGTTCTTTCAACACTCCAACAAGAAAATATATTTAAAATTAATACTACTGAAAACTGTATGTAACAGACATGTGGACATGCCTAAGAAAAGAATTAAACAGGTGAGGCAGGTGTTAAGTCTGTGATGGCTTTTTCTGTAAGAGAAGAGGTGTTATTTCCAAACTGAAACAACTTCAATTCAGACTTTTACTGAATCCCAGCCATGCAACGTACTTTATGGCATGAGGTGCAGATACACCAAAACTTTTCATTTGTTCCAAATATGGAACCTGAATAGAATGTAACCATTTCAAAGTATTTGAAGCACCACATTCAAAGCAGTTCTGATAGCACTGACTTGAACCTTAACTGAGAAAATTTGACATTTGTACATAGGTTCCAAGTTTTCCAATTCACATATATAGAACATTACAGCAACAGTCATTTGTGAAAAATACTCAGAAAAATCCACCCAAACCCACCATATCCCCACAGAAGAATGAGCATGGAAATATTCAATATCACAGACAAAATTTATGGCAGATATATATATATAATCAAATTTGCCAAAACAGGCAACCTTTGGTGGAAGCAGCTGAATTCTTTCTCCTCCTGCAACCCTCTCATCCTCGCTCTCCACTTAGCCAGCAAACTCCAAGCTGCAGAGTAGGTGGGACAAGGCTCCTTGGCATGGCTTTGTATCAGCCCCTGGTACATGGAACAGCCCTGGCTTTCTGAAAAACTGCCCCAAAAGAAGTTCCCACGAGAACTACAGACTGAATTTATCATTAAATGCTACCATCTCTTTGACATAGGAAAAATGTCAATTAAAATACATGATTTTGGTGCATCATAATGTGTTAGCAGAGCTGAGACAGACATTTAATCTGTTTTTCTCGTCCTCTCCCCCACAAAACCTCAGCTTTTGATAACTGATGTGATTTAACTAGTAGCACAGACAGCTGTTGATCCCAGCAGATGCTCAGTATTTAGGAGGAGGCCCATCACTTACTTAAGGGATTACCAGATATTTGCTACACAGAGATGCTGTTGAAATCAGTAATCCTGAATTCTATTCCAGATTTCCAATGCTGATCAGACGCAAAATGTACACTGCACATTTATTTTTGGAGGTAAATCAAATGGAAAGAATGGTTCAGTGTGCAAACTGACTCCAAACAGAGAATACTGTACTATAAATTGTCATGACACAAGGAAAAGGAAAGGAAAGGAAAGGCAGGTAGCTGAAACATACGCAGTGGTTATATTTGAAAAGAATAATCCGCTTGGGCCAACAGTTTAGTGAAGCCAAAAAACCCCCAGATCTCTCCACCAAACCCACCCATATAAGCCCACAGCTAACTCTGGAGAATAACTAGCCAATCACAGAAAACACTGTTTAAACACCCTAGACTTAAAAAAAAAAGCAGAATGCATTCTTTGTTTCCTTGGTATCTTGGAGGGTGTCCTTCCATGGAACACAACAGTGAGAAAGGCACACAGACAACTTACTGAGAGCGCTGGCTGCAGAGCTATAAGCAAACTGTTGATTTCTTCATGTTTGGGGTGACAGGATTTTTATGCTACTTGTAAATAAGAGAGAATTCCAAAGACTTATCCGATTATCACCACTGATGTGTCTCTCTCATGAGTGCTACAGCACAACTATGAGAAAATACTCGAGTAATAAAGGGACATACCATTTAAGTTATTTAAATAACTTTTTGAAACCTGGCTATGCCTCATAGTAATTACTTAACTTTGTTTACAAAAGCTTTTACCACTAAGCTCCTGCAAAAACACTATTTTTTTGTAGCTCTACTCTTGAGATTATGCCACATAATTCTCTACCCCAAAATGAACTTCCTTATGTTTAAGGTGGCCTATTCCATACATACAACAATCTTAAGCAGAGGACCACAGCTGAACTTACAGAAGAAACTCATCACCACAGAATTACAACCTCAGAAGAAATGGGATATAATCCAGTAGGTATCAAGATGTTTTGGCTACAATTTTGTTATACATCATAAATGAGTTTCTCTGAGCAGCCCGAGTTTTACAAACTGCAAACTGTATTAGAACAGTCTGAAGCAGTTGAAAGAAATTCTCAGAAACATCCAAGAAATACTGGTGGGTTTTTTTTCCATTTTTTTTTCTTTTACCCCTACCATCCTGCTTTTCTTAAAACACTACTGTATTAAATAAGAAAAATATTCTGGTGTTTACCTCATTTCTTAGAACAGGTACAGCATTTGTAATTAATATCAAACCATGTCATGCAACTAAGCATCTTCTATAAGCACCCCAGGAATTCCAAGAAGACAAGCCAGCAGCACAATTACCTGGGAGACCTGGGTTTAGAAGCGATTTCAGCAATTCTCAGGTAAGAGCTAACACAAGTACAGTATAAAACCTCTGGCTTTTGACAGAGATCAAATGTGTGTTTTAGCTCAAAAGTGCACTTTATCGTGCCACGTTGGATGGACAGTTGCTCAAGAGTCAGTGTCTTACTAGACAAGTAGAAAAAAGTCAAACTGACAACTGTTGAAGGTGGGGTGTTGGGGCCTTAGCGATACCGAATGAATACCAGGGTTTGTGAACCAAGGCCATGAGCTAAAACTAAAGGATACAGTTGCAATTTAAGTTAGCAGAAAAGTAAGAAAATGCGGATGGGAAAATGCTGATAGCAAGAATAATACGCATATAGCATCTTTCTAGACTAACCAATCACTTAAGGATTAGGGGCGCGTGGACAACGCGTGCTACCCAATCAAGCTTGCTCTATCTTGCGTGCTCGGCGCGTGATCGCGTGTACAGGAGAACAGAAAGAATATATAAGAACGCAGCCTGATTAATAAAGTTGGATTTGAACTTGCATCATACTGGTGCGTCGTTCTTTCCCGCTCGCTAGAACGGCGCGCAGCAGTGGGGAGAACAAAGCTAAAAGCAACAGCATGCTTTGGAGGAACAGTAAATTTCATTCTAAGTAAGTATATGTAACAAACAGGAGAAATTCATACTGTCACATTTAAAGATACCCTTCTCCCCTAAAGTGTTCCTTTCTTTATAGCGTTCAGAATCCAGAATTTTTTCAGTCTTTCCTCTACATTACGCAATGGGCTTTCTTTAGCAGAATTCAGCTCATTAAACTCTCCAATTTATGTTTTCCTCTTTGCCGTCATGAACTGAAACCTTTTGAGATACCTGTACCTTACAGGTTTGATTTAACCCCAAGCCCCACCCCAATGCCTTAACATTGCTCACCTCCCCAGCTGAATCAGTGGACTTGCATCCTCTTTCATCTGCGCTCAATTTCAAACCCTTCTGCACTGGTGAAGGAGCAGGTGACACTTTCTCCAGCTCTCCTGGTACCATTTTTACTTTTTCTTGACCTTTCTGCTTTTTGTGCATGCTTTTCTTCTCTAAATAGATACCTTGAGTTTCCACTTTTCTACCTTCCTCTTTATAATCATCTGCTTTCTGAGTTTTTTTCTTCTTTCTTTTAACCTTAACATCAATACTATCATCTTCATTACTTGCTGATCCATCAAGATGCCTATCGGCAAAGGAATCTTTTTCAGCAATTTCTTGTTCCAATCTCTCTTCTACCCTTTGCTTCTCATCTTTATTTTCAGAATTTAAGTCTGAATTTTCATTATCAATTCCTTGACAAAATACATCATCTAGAGTACTTGATTCTGAGTCTAACTGAATATCTCCATGCTTCTCCTTCCGTGATTTTTTATTTTCTTTAGAATCTTCTTTAGATTTTATTTTTGAATCTTTAACTTCTCCCTTCTTTTTCTTGATTTCTTTAGTATCTTCCTTCCTTTGCTTCTTTGGGTCCTTTGAATCCTCCTTGGATTCTGAAGTCCTTTTTTTTGGTTTTGAATCTGAAACAAAAGTATCTGAAGAATTATCACATTCTGTTCTCGGTTTTTCTTTGAGTTTTGAAGACTTGGACTTTTTCTTCTTCAGATCATCTGGACTTCTATCCTCTCCATCTTTTGATCTCTTTTTTTTTTTCTTTGGTGAAACATCATCTTTTGTTTCACTTTGCCAGTCACTGTCAGATTCTGCTTCAAATACATCATCATTTAGGGACAGCTTCTAAAAGATAAGGAAAAAAATAAAAGATTTCTTTCTCCATTAAAGTGTATCATTTTGGCGTAAATGGTAGTGGTTGTGCTTGGGAAAAGTAAATTTTAAGCACTTCAATCTTTTTGTCACTGCAAACATCATTCTTCATTGCCAAATCGTAAAATCTGTAAATGAAATGCTAGCTCACTTACCTGAATTGCCTTGCTACCTGTTTGGATGAGCATCAATACATAAACAAGTCAAGGAAACCAATCAGAGATCCAACAACCAGATTCTAGAACAGAACAAAATCTGAACTATTTTACATCAAAATCAATTAACCTGATTTTGTAAAATTTACCTCTGGGTTTCCCAGAAGTAGGGTACCAGTTTCCAAAAAAAAAAAAAAAAAAAAAGAGGCTTCATTTTCAAACTGACTGAGCAGTTAAAAAAGAAGAAAAGGAAATGCCAGATACTGCTTTCTTGCAATTATTTTTTCTGTATTCCTATCCTAGCAAGTTTAATGGTTCACATAACCAAAACTCACCAATCTGCTACACAACACAGGTAGGGAAAGGAGGTGGCTTATGTTGTCAAAAACAAACTAAAGTGACCATATATCATTTATAAAGTCCCATTAAAAAGTTAAATAAGGTTTAGAAGGATTTAGAGTCTACAAGCAAACTTGTCAATTGATAAAAAAAACCAAACCAACCCTAACCAGACAGCGGCAACAATATTCAGTTTCCCATGAAACAAAACACTTATAGATTGAAGAGATTCCTTAAGTCTTCTTAATTCCATATCCATAATGTCTTCCTTTCTCCCTCCTCCCATCAGCAGGACCTAGACAGGGAATACATCTTCAGCAGAAGACACTAAAAGATGAAACTCACCTGTATGTCTTTTTTAACAGGTTTAGGCTTATTGTCCACAATTTTTTTTCTGAATTCAAGCAGCACTTCTTTGCAGTCTTCCAAGTGAACTTCTGGTTCCCAGGTATCATCATCAGAGGTATATCCTTTCCACCGTACTTTGTAGAGAATCTTACCCTGTAAGAAAAAACCCAACATTTAATACAACACAGCATATTATTGCATCATCTGCTCAATTTTTGGGGATCTCAGTGGATGTATCATTTTGTGTATAGAGAAATTAATATAACAGGAGTTCAACACAACGTTGACATAAGAATTCCCAGAATAATTTCCATCTGCAACACATACTGAACTGAGGTTGTAAAACGATTCAGTAGTTGAAGCGGTTTTATCCAAAATATTTGTGATATTTAAAATTTGTTCAGAATCACAGCTACAATGTACAGATAATAAATTTACGGTCATCTTACTAAAAATAGATCTTCTGACAGTTACGAGACTTTTTTTTTCTAAGTTATAGTATTTCTGCTATAAAAATTTCAAGGTTGAATTGCTTCTCTTTGCTGAAGAAGTTGATACAAAACCTCAAGATTTATAATGCGTTAACACCATTCGCTTAGTTTTATCTTGGAATTTGTAACTTATGTTAGATTAATAACTGATGCCACTTTTGATAAACTGAAATATCAACAATTAAAAAAAACCTAAACCCACCAATGAGATAAAGTTAAACCTAGACAAAATCTGAGTGTGTGCATCTCAGTGGAGTTAGCTACAAAAATTTTGGTAAAAGATCACATATGGAAGTCCTAGACCGATTGTTTCAACAGTATTTAACTTCACCGTAGGAAGAAATTGCATCTTTTAGTCTCCATCTTGTTTTCTCACTAGATTAGGAAGATTTTTAACGTTAAAAAAAAAAAAAAAGCATTCCACCAAATTATCTCTTGCCTTTCTCCTAAGTTAATTAAATAGTCTGAATTCTTCTGAAAGCTTCTAAAGTCTTCAAGAAGTCTGAAAGCTTCTCAAGATGGGCCTCCTTTTCTTGCTGAAAGGCCAGGCTTGTTAGCTTGGACCATGCATGTTGCTGATAAAGCCAGACAACTGGCAACCCAGGGCCTCTTGCACCAAGCGTAACTGAGAAGCAGAGACATGTCTGATAAAATCAATGTGGTCAATGTGTCACACAGACGTATGACAAAAGCTAGCACCACACTTAAGAAAATCCATTGTCCATTTAAAAAAAAGCTAATAATGAATTTGTGGCAACATAGCCATTCCTGAACTTCTTTTCTAAAAAACAAAACAAAACAAATACCAACCCCCCAAAAAGTATTAGCAAGTGCACCACCGAAAGCACCTTTGGAGAGGAAAAATAACAGTACCTCTTTCTATCGAAAATAGATTGATAATGCTCTGAAAGATCCTACGCTGCTAACCAAGCCCGGGAGAATGAAAGCTTCAAAAGAACTGTCATTTGACACTTACTATTGAATCTATTTATATCCGTAAATTTATGTTTTTGCCTGAGCACCATTAACCTTTGACCAAGTGTATATATATGCCATTAAACTCTAGCAATCAACTCGACTTGCAATCTTCTGTATTTTGCTTCACAGACATAAATAGCCTATAATCAAATACATGTGAGAAATGCCTGCTCACACCTAGAATTTAAAGAGGACAAAGTCGCTGAAGCAAAGGTATAGAAATTTATTATACAAAACAGCACTGAATCGGGTGCATCTCAAAGTAGAGGCACACACCCTTTTGGTTTCTTAGGTATCTTTATCCCAGCCGCCTGAGTTACTGTCTCCCTTCTCATTGGCTGAGAAGTTGGAGCTCACATTCTTCCCGACCGCCTAACCTATTATAGATAAAGCACATATATCTGTTCTACAAAATTATTATTCTAAACACCCCGCTATATGTTTGCCATCACCTGCTGTCCAATATTAGTGGTTACAAGTACTCTGGTGGTCATATCTTCATTAGTTACCCTCCAGGTGGCCTTCGTCCACTTATCAGTCTCCACTGTCCGTTGTCCACTTATCAGTCTTCACCATCCGTTGTCCACTTATCAGTCTGCCACCAATTTTTGGTTAGCCCTCACCTAGATAACACTTCACAATCAAGAACCCCTGGACAGCCCCAAGGCGCCTCCAAGGATCAGTTGGACACAAGGGATAAGACTCCACTATAACTGAACTACCTTTATCAATACAGACATGCTAACAGAGAAAAGGAAAAAATAATGTATCAATTAGCTGAAGCAAAATTCAGCCTGTTTCTCACATACATTAGCCTAATACTTCTCCTCTTACAATTTAGCTTAACCATACACTCTAGATTTAGGAACTACTTTTCAAGATCATGTTCACTTGTCTGTCTGTCTTTCTTCTGATGGATGTACTCATGAAATAAGCGAGCAGTGACTTTGGTTACAGTCACAGAATAACTGAGGTTATGAAGCAGCCTCAATGCCCTGCTCAAAGCAGGACCAACTATATCAGGCTGCTCAGAAACCTGCCCGTCAAGTGTATCTATTCATTTCCCTGTGTCCCAGCTTGTGTCCACTGTCTCACCCTTTCACTGGGCACCTCTGAGAAGGATCTGACTGTCCTCTCTACATCCTCCCTTTCAGCAGATACAGATACCCCTACGATCAGCCCTGATTCTTCTCTTCTTTTGGCAGCACAAACCCAGCTCTCTCAGCCTCCTGTGCTCCAGCTCCCTGAACTGTTTCATAGCCCTCCACTCCACGTGTCCACGTCTCTTCTGTCCAGGGAGCTCAGAACTTGACACAATACTCTGGGTGCATCTCAGCAGTGCCAAGAAGAGAGGATGAAGCATCTCCCTCCATCTGCTGGCCCTGATCTCAGGTGTGTGTCTTCTTTGCTGCAAGAACTGCTGACTGGTGTTCACGTCTGTGGGCACTCCCAGCTCCTTTCCTGCACATCTGCTTCCCAGCCAGCGGGCTCTCACCTGTGTCTGCTGCTACAGGGCTCTGCCACTTCAGAGGCAGGACTTCAGTTTCCTGTGGAGTCACTGTTACACCCTTGTAATTCAGGTACAAAATGAGTTAGAAGTCCTTTTTTAATTAATTTGGAAAGCTGGATAAAATAAAGTCTAATGCAAATGTAAGAGTATTTGGCTGTTTAACGGCTTTACATTCAGTACATGGAGAGTGACACAAAGATGTAGCTCAAGTGAAGACAGGAGACTGATCATCATACTAAAGATACATACACAGCCTACACAGCCAGTGTATATGTGTGTGTACACAGACACACACTCACCTGTCAACATTATTTTACTCAACATTGTTATTTCTTTCCTCTGTTCTCTACAGAGAATAGAACACTTTCAAGCATTTTTACACTGCTGTAACTTCCACAAGAACTAGTGACTGGCTAGAACCAACTCCTATTGAAAAGGAGTATCACCATGTCATTAAAGAGCAGTTAAGGTCCCCCCTGGGGAACCTCAGCAGCCTGTTGTTTCGGTATAACTGTAGTGCAGTATGAAAGGCTTTCTAGATATACTCAGAGGAAACATTTACAACCTTTTATTGCTTGTTCTCTTAAGTAGGACACCTTAATGTTTCACTTATCAGCAGGTCTCACACCCCAGCCCAATCCCATGCCAGGAGTGCTGTCCTTCATCCTACTACTACTACCAACTGCAGCAACACCAGGACTGAGAATGACAAGAGCTTCTCCAGCTCTGCTGCTTCTGCAGTTGTGACCCAGGAACACAACAACTGGACTTACGCTGCGCTGGAGAGTGGCCGACTCCCTGCATCTGCCTGGATTTTCGCTGAATTTTTTTAGAGTTGGAAGGGACCATAGAGATCAGACTTAGGAATCTGCAAGCTGGGAACCACTAGTCTAAACCAGACCCTATAAAATATAGTCCACTGATGGAACAGCTTTTTCCAGCCATTTCAGAAGCTGCGACTGGGTGCCAGTATCTGTCTCGCCCTGTCTTTGTGAAGCACCAGAGCACAGCTTCCCTGAAGAGCAACAGAAAGGTGAGCTGATGTGGTTGGAGCCCGTGCTACAAAGCTACAACCAGTGCGTACTGGGCAAGGCACATAAAGAAAGTACAGCTAATTACACTGACCCAGCCTGGAAACGTCAAGTGCATACAGCAAAGAACCTGCTGCAAAACGGACTGCTTGGAGGAGGAGGATGATCGAACGAGGGGATGCAACACACCTTTTTACCAGCACATGCAAACGACATTTTTAAAAGCCAGTACTTGATGCATTCTGGTACTCTTTTGAAGTGTGTGGAATGGTATGACTCCCCCTCTGCCCCTACAAGCAGAGATCTCAGGTTCCACCACCAGGAGAGGGAGAAAAATTTAAAAAAGGACTCCTTTTGCTTTCAACCCGATTGATTATTTTGACCAACACTTGATACAGGCAAAGCTGTAAATACTGTATTACCTCGAAAAAATAACATTCGTAAGCCATCAAGATATTTTGGGCAAGATGCAACCTAATCAAGAATTTTGTAGATATTTGCAGTGCTGTCATGATTTGAAGGTTCTCCAACCTAAAGGTTTCAAAATCTGGATGTTTTACTCTAAACAGATAGAATTGTGTACTATCACGTACCTGACTGAAGCCTAAAATAACAACCATGAAATAGTTAAAATAAAGAATTTTCAGACATAAAATAATTTTAAAAAACAGCTGTAAATATCTTTTTGTATTTGAGGTTTAGAAAATTTTAAAAGAACTTCGGTCAGTCTAGGCTGCTTTCAAAGAGAAGGGACAGTATTGCTGTATAAACGAAGCAGAGACCACCACAGCTAGTTATTTTAGTTGGAAGAAATCTCTCTTATTTTAAGAGATTTTTATTAGCCAGTAAACAGCCTCACTAAGCGTACCTTGAAACCCACCTCCAAGCTCTCCATTATACTCAATCTTGCCAATTTCTGCACTCATTTTACACCAAAGCACGACTGCAGTTCAGCCAGGAGAGCGAGGAGCAGTTTAACAACGCGAACCCCCAAACAAACAGTACCGATACCACAGCTTTAGCCTCCGCAGCCAGAGCTGTAAGATACAACAACCTCCCTTGCAGAATTACGCACAAGGCGTTTTAAGTCACAGTTATAACGGAACTACGATTTTCGCGCGGTAGGTCCAGGCAAACCTCCGGCGCTGCCCGCCCGCAGAGAGAGCCGGGGGAGAGGCCCCGGGCCCACCCCCCGCTGCCAGCGCTCGGCCCCGGACACCCCTCCCGGAGCCGCCGAAACCCGACCCCCGGCAGCCGCCGGGCCCCCTCAGGGGGCGCCCGGGCCTCCCGCCAGCCCCACCGCCGCGGCCTCCCTGAGGGACCCACCGCCCCGCCGCGCGCTCACCCCCTCGGTCTTCACGTCGAGGATCTTCTCCACCTCGAACACGTCCTCCTCCTCCTCGCTCTCGCCGCCGCCGCTGGCCTCCCCGCCGCCGGCTGCTGCTGCCGCCGCCGCCTTGCCAGCCCCGCCGCCGTCTTCCTCACCATCCCCGTCCTCCTCGTCCTCCTCCTCCGCCGCGGCCGCCGTCTCCTCCTCTTCCTCCGCCCCCTCCAGCCTGGCGGCCGCCGCCGCCTCAACCCCGCTCCCGGCCGCCGCCGCCGCCATTTTGGGCCGAATTTCAAACGACAACGGTGAAAAGCGGCTGCGACATCCACCGCCGGGCCAGGAGGGAGCGGGGCAGCGGCCCCAGCCAATCAGCGCCCCGACAGCCCGTGACGCGCAGGGGCGGGGCCCCCAGCCCGCAGGCCTCCCTGCGCTCGGCGGCGGGGGAGGCCCCAGCGGGGCGGCGGGATCCCGACGGGGCAGCCCCGGGGCGGGCTCTCCTCTGGCCCCGGGGAGCCCCGGGCCTGTCAGCGAGGGGTCCCCCGGCGTCCCCCGCTTCCGAAGCCTGACCAGGGCCCCTCCGGAGGAGGGAGGGGGTTCCCGGCGGCGCTGGAGGGCAGGCGGGCGCTGCTGCCCTGTCCGGTGACCGGGGGGGCCCGGCTTCTGCGAATAAAAAGACAAGAGTGCGCGGAGTGTCCCATCCAAAGGTCCCATTCCTTGCCCTCGGCCGCATGAAGTTCTGGGGAAACGCAGAAGAGACATGTAGATGGGCACCTGGTGAGAAGGTCCTGTTGGGGAATGGGGTTTCTCTCTAGGAGAAGAAAAAAACCTTTTAATTTTCAGAGTGTTTTGCATGTTGAAATGCAGAGAGAGCTGGGGCTGTGCAGCCTGGAGAAGGCTCCGGGGAGACCTTGTAACAGTCTTCCAGCACCTGAAGGGGCCTACAGGAGAGACAGGGAGGGACTCTTTATCAGGGAGTGTAGCAATAGAATGAGGGGTGAAGGTTTTAAACTGAAAGAGGGGAGATTTAGATTAGATACTAAGAAGAAATTCTTTACAGTGAGGATGATGAGACACTGGAACAGGTTGCCCAGAGAAGCTGTGGATGCCCCATCCCTGGAGGGGTTCAAGGACAGGCTGGATGGGGCTTTGAGCAACCTGCTCTAGTGGGAGGTGTCCCTGCCCATGGCAGGGGGGTTGGAACTCGATGATCTCTAAGGTCCCTTCCAACCTAAACCATTCTATGATTTTATGAAAATAATAGCTTGTTTTGTTTTGTTAATGTAACATGCAGGAGTGTGGCGTATGAAGAAATCACAGACTCGTAGGCCATGCAGTAAGCAAATCCAAAAATCCAATTCGACCATCTTTATTGATACACAGAGAGACTTATATACACCAAGACACAAACCTACTCCCCCCATAATGCCCAATGATGGACTTACAAAAATATTTTGTTACCTTCTACTGAGCTTATCACAATAACAATTATTCTACTATCAAGACAGGTTTTGGTTCCCAGTCTGTGGCTCTGTTTTTTGTCAGGATGTGTTCCAGGATGCAAAACTTGTGTTTCTCACTCCTCCCCTGCTCTCAAGGTCACTACTGGCACACACTGTTGCTCCAGATGCAAGTAAATCTTAACTATGGGAGTGACCTTTAACTGAGCCCACATCTCCCCCTCTTTTAAAGTTCAGAACATAAGTGGCTTTATCTAATAGTTCCTGAGGTGTGATACCCAGGAGATTCCACCTTTTTTGTTTATAAAGCATATTTTTCAGAGTAAGGTGAGAACGCTCTATAATTGCTTGACCAGTCAGAGAATGGGGAATACCTGTAAAGTGCAGGATACCCCACTCATCTCCCCCTCTTTTGTTAGTTAGAATAGAAATCAAAGCAAGGGTCATCACAACCTGGCACTGAATACCACACGTCTAATTAATTGAACCTAGGAACCCAAAAAGAAAGAAAATTAAACAAAAGAACAAAGCAGCTTCAAGTGTCTGTAATCACGTACTACAGTAAAAACTAACCACTCAAGAACACACTTAACCCTTTTTTGGTATTTTCAACTTCATCCTTAGGAAGTCTCACTAAATACCCTACACCATCTTTCCCTTGCCATTCACAAATAAAATTAACAGGTATGCATAATTCGGGTTATTTTCTAAAAGAATAATAGTCATATAACTTCCTAATGCTAAATCAACATGTGTAATACAGTTCTTAAAGAAAAGGTTTGTGCTTCTAATGAATACAAACTATCATTAAAGGTTACATTAGGATTACAAACTAATGCAAATACATATAAGAGAGAATGGGGAATACCTGTAAAGTGCAGGATACCCCACTCAGCTAAAAAAGTTTTTGTTTGTCTAGCAACATAGCCTGGCCCGTTATCAGTCTTAATTTTCTGTGGAATACCTAAAACAGTGATTGCATAGATCTGTTTTAATGCTAGAATGATTGTCTTTAGAATCCAAGGAATTTTGTCTTTGAGGATACAACCTCAGACATGGTCTCTGAGCCAATTGTTGCAAATCTTACAATTTTTGCAGGTTGCATGCTGGAAATACAGGACGAATATGGGATAATACCCTCCTCGTCGGTATTGCTTGGACTTGGCAAAGTGACCACAGTGTAATTAGTTTTGCCATTTAGTTTTAATCCAACGAGATGTAACTGAGCAGTAAAATTAATATAAGGAGATTGATTCTCAGGCCTAGTAACATTGGCCCATGTGACACACATGTAAGTCACTACAAAATATCTGGCTAGCCTTAAAGGAATTGTTAAGATCATCACAAGATGGTAGTAATAAAACTCCTCTCATCCATCTCGTATCATTATTATTTAAGGTGATGTTAGATCCCACCTAAACACAGGCAAGACATACATATGATAATGCGAGACACATTCAACATGATTAAACCTGAGGAAGATTAGAATCTTCCTTCTTATCTTTGTCTTGAGAGACATCTTCGACAGACTCTGCATTGGCAGGCTTGATATTTTTCACAGGTAACCAGTATGGTCCTGTGGATAAAGAAACCCAACCATAACCACGTCCCCATGCCAACAAGGGTACTGGACCCATCCATTTTCCTGACTGTAAGTCTTTATCAAATACAGTAGGCTTCATATTTGTCTGATCTGGCAAACCATATCACCATTGATTAGCAGTCAAATTGTCAGCACGCGTAAGATTCATAAAGTTCAGAACATAAGTGGCTTTATCTAATAGTTCCTGAGGTGTGATACCCAGGAGATTCCACCTTTTTTGTTTATAAAGCATATTTTTCAGAGTAAGGTGAGAACGCTCTATAATTGCTTGACCAGTCAGAGAATGGGGAATACCTGTAAAGTGCAGGATACCCCACTCAGCTAAAAAAGTTTTTGTTTGTCTAGCAACATAGCCTGGCCCGTTATCAGTCTTAATTTTCTGTGGAATACCTAAAACAGTGATTGCACGAAGCCAATGGCGACAGACATCTTTAGCCTTCTCTCCCCTGTGTGCAGAAGCAACAATAAACCCAGAAAAGGTGTCAACAGTAACGTACAAAGCAAAGAACTCCAAATGCAGAAATATGAGTAACATCAGTTTGCCATAGTTCATTGGGCTGCAATCCAGGAGGATTAGATCCAGTCTGTGTAGGAAGCGGCAGGAGACGCTGACAATCTGGACAGGCAGAGACGATTTCTCATGCCTGCTGCAGTGTGAGCTGGAAATCCTTGGAGAGTGCCTTGGCATTCTGATGATAAAATTCGTGGGAGAGTTGAGCCTGTTGAAGTTTCTTAGATACCACAACAGTCATAGCAAAAGGATCAGCAACAGCATTACCTTTAACCATGGGTCCAGGCAATGTAGTGTGAGAACGTAAATGAGACACAAAATAAGGATGAGCCCTCCGTGAAATCAATGTGTACAGTCTGGAGAGGAGATTAAACAAGTCCTGATTCGCAGCTTCCTTTAAAAAGGATTTTTCTAATCTTTGTATAATACCAAACACATAGGCAGAGTCAGTGACAACATTAAGGGGTTCAGCAGCAAATAAACTGAATGCATGGATAGCAGCTGCAAGCTCAACCGACTGAGTAGAACCTGACTGAAAAACAACAAGAGTGTTGCCACCCACGTGTGGCCTCTTGCCAGAGCAGTAAAATTAATATAAGGAGATTGATTCTCAGGCCTAGTAACATTGGCCCATGTGACACACATGTAAGTCACTACAAAATATCTGGCTAGCCTTACAGGAATTGTTAAGATCATCACAAGATGGTAATAATAAAACTCCTCTCATCCATCTCGTATCATTATTATTTAAGGTGATGTTAGATCCCACCTAAACACAGGCAAGACATACATATGATAATGCGAGACACATTCAACATGATTAAACCTGAGGAAGATTAGAATCTTCCTACTTGTCTTTGTCTTGAGAGACATCTTCGACAGACTCTGCATTGGCAGGCTTGATATTTTTCACAGGTAACCAGTATGGTCCTGTGGATAAAGACTTGAGGGAGTTAAGCAGACCGTGCTTCGGCAGAGTGTAAAGTATCCAACCATAACCACGTCCCCATGCCAACAAGGGTACTGGACCCATCCATTTTCCTGACTGTAAGTCTTCAGATCAGTTCCTCAAAGTTGCTGGCATCGCAGTCGACCTGCAGAAATTAATCTCACAAACATCTCAAGCAAAGTAGTTACAGTTTTTGAAAATGAATGAGGAAGGAAAATCCATTCTAGTACTAATAGCTGTTGTTCCTTTTCATCCCATTGACCAATAAGCGCATATGGCTGAAAAGAATTAGGGATTAAAAATAGACGAACAGGTAAACTTAAACCATACCTGGATGCAAAGGCTGTATTAACCCTTTCTGCTACAATCTGCAATGCTTGCGAAGCTTCCCCGGTAATTGATCTCGGGGATGACAAATCAGAATCGCCTTTCAAAAGGCCAAACAGGGGAAATAATAATTCTGTAGAAATCCCCAATAAAGGCCGTAGCCTATTAATGGTTCCAAATAATTTTTGTAGCTCATTCAATTTAGTTACTGTATTGACAATTTGTATGGGTTGTGGAATAATTGTTTTATCTAAGATTTGCCATCCCAGATATCTCCAAGGTGGTATAGACTGTACCTTCTCAGGTGCTATCCGCCTTGGCATCCTGATGATAAAATTCGTGGGAGAGTTGAGCCTGTTGAAGTTTCTTAGATACCACAACAGTCATAGCAAAAGGATCAGCAACAGCATTACCTTTAACCATGGGTCCAGGCAATGTAGTGTGAGAACGTAAATGAGACACAAAATAAGGATGAGCCCTCCGTGAA